CGCGCCACGCTCCGCCTTGGTCGCCGCTCGGTCCCGGCGCTGGGGTGCGGCGGGGGTGGGAGCGGGCCCGACTCAGCCTGATTTACGGCTCTGCTGAAAACCGCTTCGCTCCCGCAGCATCAGCACCCGCCGCGGCGGCAGCATCAGCAGCTGCAGCTGCAGCAACAAGTCGGGTAAGTGGTGGCAGCTGGGCATCTGAGCTCGTGGCCTGGTTCCGGGGTCGCGACGCGGCACAGGGCAGGGGTCCAGCCGGGACTGCTGGCGGTGAGGAAGGGGTCCCCGTCCCCGCAGCCCCGCGGGAAGTTGGGAGAGCCAGCTTCTCGGCCCCCACCTGCAGGAACTCATGTGCGCACGTATCCACTCTGGCACCCTTGGGCTGGCACGGAACCCGGCGGGGGTGCGGAGGGTTGGGACCCCTGAGGCTGGGTCATCGCCAGCCTGTCCCGCCCAGGCAGAGTAAATTAGGGCTTCTCCCCGAACCCTGTGGATTGGGGTTTCTGATGGGCCCATGAAAGCCTGCGTGCCCCGGAGTGCGTGGTACTCCTTTTCCTCGTGCAAGGATGCTGCCCGTTTCCCGTTGCTCCCTAGAATCCTGACCGCCCCTTCTTTCACTTGTCGCCAGTGTTTTTTTTTCAGCCCTGCGTTGGTCCAAGGTTTGCATCCCGCCCTTAGAAAACCAGCGGTTAAACAGCCCGGTGTGGCACAGGAAGAGTTTCCCCTCTCTGGGGCCCAGTGGCTTACTAACCTGGAAGCTTTGCCCGCTGAGCTAGCTGTCTGGGGACTGTTTACACCTCTGCTTTTGATGAGATTGAGAGCCCAGTGACAGGACTTCCAGCCTGAGACTCCCAGCTCTTTTGGAGGCCAAATGCTTGTTATGTTTAAGTAGAAACCATTCTTGGAGGGACTAGACCTGCACAGCTTGCAGAATTGGGTTGCTGGTAGTCATCTGTTGCTAGGGCTGAAATAATAAATTCCTACAAGGAGTCAAGAACTTCCTGTTATTGAAAGAGTTTTACTGATACGTACTTGGTTCAAACAGTGGCTGTCTGTAGAGGTTGTCCTGTTAAAACAGGATCGGAAGACAAGACAAACTCATCCAGAACTCTCTATTATAATTAAATCTTGGCCATGGCCATTGCCTCACTTATACATTAATATTTGATACACTGGGTCCCCAAATTTCAGTAAAACTGGAGTATAACCCGTTGCCGGGTCGATTCCAACTCCTAGTGACCCTACAGAACAGAGTAGAACTGCCCCATAGGATTTCCAAGGAGCGGCTGGTGGATTTGAACTGCCGACCTTTTGGTTAGCAGCCTTAGCTGTTAACCACTGCACCAGCGGTGGGGGGCATTATTGGTATGATGATACATCGACGTATGTTATCACAGAATAATTAAGAGACAAAATGAAAGGTAAAAATATCTCAGATTGAAAATTTTCCAGTATGCTTAATGTCACTGTGCCTAGCTTATACTCGAGGAAAGAAAGATTGCTGAGTTTGCTCTCTTATGACCTGTTTTGCCAATTCATGTGAGTTTTCCTCATTTTTTGGTATTTGTATTTATTAGGATTGTATCAGTAAAATAGGACACAGTTTTACATTTACTGTGCTGAATTCCAGAGGGCTGGTAACTTCATTTCCACATCTGTATCTGCTGCTTTCCATCTCACCTTGGATTAATGATTTTACCTCCAGGCTCCAATTTTTCTCATCTGTGAGGAGTGAAGGTAACCTACCTTTCTTATCCTCGACAGGGGTTGGAAAACTTTTTCTGTGGAAGTCAGGTAATAATATTTTTGACTTTGTACGCCATGGAGTCCCTGTCTCAACTACTCACATCTGGCAGCAGACAATACAGAAACGAATGGATGTGGCTGGATTTGGCCCATGGAGGCTGTAGGTTTTCATTTTAACATATATGCAGAAGTGATTTGAAACCCAAAAGCCTCTGCCCTCATGGAAATAAGCAGCAACAGTCATTTCAGTAGAATTTTTTGAACAGACATATAAACAACATGATTTTTGTCTCTTTTTCCCCTCGCCCAGGACTTTTGAGTAATGCAACAGAAGGCTTTTGAGGAAAACAGATACCCCTGGCAGGAGTCCTTCGAGAATGTTGCTGTGTGCCTGCCATTCCGCTGCCCGAGGTGTGGAGACCATACCAGATTTAGAAGCCTGTCGTCCTTGAGGGCCCATCTGGAATTCAGTCACAGCTACGAGGAAAGAACCCTCTTGACAAAATGCAGCCTCTTTACTTCCCTCAGAGACACAGACCTAGTCACTTCCTCAGAACCCCTGAAACAGGGAAAGTTGCAGAGCAGTGGCAATGTGGTAAAGCAGAAACCGAGCTATGTGAACCTGTATAGCATTTCGCATGAACACTCAAAGGACAGGAAGCCATTTGAGGTGGTAGCAGAGAGGCCTGTGTCCTATGTGCAGACCTTCACTGCGATGGACCTGCGTGCAGACTCACTGGATGGACCACGATCGAGTCCTGGGCTTCCCACCTCCGACACCAAAGCTGCTTTTGAGGCACATGTCAGAGAAAAATTCAATCGGATGGTCGAGGCCGTGGATAGGACCATCGAGAAGCGAATCGATAAACTCACCAAAGAGTTGGCCCAGAAAACTGCTGAACTGTTGGAAGTTCAGGCAGCTTTTGTGCAGCTGACGCAGAAAAAGCAGGAAGTTCAGAGGCGAGAGCGGGCCCTGAATAGACAGGTGGATGTGGCGGTGGAGATGATTGTTGCCCTGAGGCAACGTCTGACAGAATCTGAGGAGGAGCTTCTTAGGAAAGACGAGTAAGTGGCACTGAAACAGGATGGTAACCCTGCTGCGATGGTAACCCTGCTGCTTTAGGCATTCCTCCCCCCACCCCCATCCGCACACACATCACCAGTATATGTTAAGCAGGGTTCGGTTGTTGTTGTTTGCAGATGCCTTGGCAGCATTTCCCACTGATATAGTTAATCCCAAGAGACATAAGGCTTTTGATATTATTTACTCTCTCTCTGCATGGACTGCGATCTACTGCCAAAACATCAGCCATTGAAAACCCTGTGGAGCACAGTTATACTCTGACACACCTGGGGTTGCCATGAGTTGGAGTTGACTAGGTGGCAGCTGGCAGTGGTGGTGCGTGGTCTGCAGCCCTGCAACGTTAAAATCAAAACATCTCATTCCTTCTCATCTTGGAAAGTGTAAGCTACAGATGTTTTTAGAGGAGTTGGACAGTCTGACTGTAGTGGGGTCCATTTCCAGCACCGACTGGTAAGCAAAGGTGAGTGGAGTGGGATGGCATATAGGACATGCTGGGAGAGCCATTCCTTCATTGACAGTCTCCATGAGATACTGTCTTATTCAAGTCTAAAAAGATGCTCCAAATGCAAATAATTTTGACTTATCTGCCATTTTGGGTTATCTGTCCATGTTAATTAGATGTTAATAGCTGAGAATCCATTAAACTATAATTTATGTGTAGAGGGAGCAAACATCAGGAAACGCAGATGAAAGACTTTCTGATATCGTTGTGCTTCTATGATTTAAGTTTGAGAATTTTCTACTTTTTACAAAGTGATGTGTGATAAGTCTTAACCCCTTGCAAAGAGTTGACCCTGGTTTTCACAAGTTATAGAAGCCATTACTTTAAAAATCATCATACCTGGAGAAGCATTTCCTCGTCAATAAGTATGGATTCATCTCAAACTAGAACGGCATACGTAACAATGCCATATATTTCCCAAACGCAGAATGTTAGATTTTATTTTAAATAAAGGTTCAGAATTCATGGGATCTAAGGACATGAAAATTGATAGACTAAAACATCCTAGAAGGTAGGTTTTCGAATAATTTTTGAAGTCTGTTATAGAGGTTGATTTAATTTCATACTTTCTTTGCCCTCTGGCACTCTTCTATAGCGTTTTGTCTCTTAAAATGTGTAATTAAAGCTTCCTCCATTCCATATGAGGGTCGGAAACCCTATATATTAAAGAGATCATCACATGCTATCATTAAATGCTTATATTCTACCTAGAGGGAAAGTCGGCCCTACTCAGAGTAGACATTTTTTAATTACATAGTTAGGACGTATTTGAATAAGCCACTGATTTACTTTTCTCCTAGGGAAATGAGCTTTAATGAAAAATGTTTCTCTCTTGGTTTCTGGTGCTTGCTGGTAGGAAGTTAGTGTCTTGACACATTATGGCCACTAGGACAACCAACCCATCACCACTGGAAAATGGCAGATGGGGCTGCTCTATGTGCAGAGAAAAGCCTAGAATTAATACTTTGGTTCAAGAGCAGTGAGCTTAAAAGGCAGCCAAATTAATCTTGTGTATTTATTTGTTTTATAAATTGTAAAGGTAATAGTGAACATGGGATTTGGGGTAGTGATTGCAGGGGTTTCGAGGAGTCAGTACAAGGATGGGAGGACCATATGGTTAGATCTAGGTTATTGTTAAGAATCTAATTTTCATTTTTGCTTATGAGATCAAGGGTGATTTCTTATTAATGGTAACCGATTAATGAAATAAAAGTGGGCTATGCATGGACCAATAATGCTGATGTGTCATGAACCAGTGGTTATGATTAATACAAGGCTGTCACTTGAGGACCAATTGAAAAATCAGAGGTGTTTTAACACACAGACATGGTCCCCCTCATCCTCTAGAGTTCTGTGAGAGTCTTTCCAGACATTTCCTGTGCACATAAAATCATATGTAATGTATGTACATATATAGAGCTGTTTTTTTCCCAAATGAAATCATGATACATACTCTCTGGCACCTGTGTGTGGAGTTTGTAATATATCAAAGGTATCTTTCACACACTAAATACAGAATTATGTCATTCTTTTTGACTATTGCATAGTATTCCGTGGTGTGACTGCATCATGATTTATTTAACCAGTTTGCAATTGAATACTTAGTTTTGTTCCATTTTCCTAGTATTAAAAATAGCACTTCAGTTAACATCCCTGTACATATATCTTTTTTTTTTTGTACATATATCTTTGTGTACATTTTTGTGAGTATATCTAAGGGTAAATTATGAGTTGATTTTTCATATACCGTTTTTGGGTTAACAGAAAAAAGCAGTGGCATTAAAAAATACTTTGAATAAAAATAGAATGAAATTATTTAAATTTTTAAACGTTAAATAAACAAAGTCTTCATTTTTTTAAAGCCTTCATTTGGACCCAGCCCATCCATTTCTGTATTCAAGCCTCAAATAATCCTTTTTTCTGTACTTAAAATGGGACTGAAAGAGTCTTGTTTCCAGTAAGGACACTGAAGCTCTTGGTCTGAGAAAGTGACTGTGGACAACACCCTCAGTGTTTAACCAGCCCCACCCCCCCATCAGAATGGGGGTGGGGAGTGAGGCAGCTGCCATCTGCCACTCTGTCGATAGCCAGGTTGATTTGACTGAGCTGCTTGGCTGGGCCATACCCCTTCCCTCCTCACCACTCCCTTGGGGTCCCTCTTAGAGCTGTGCCTCCACCAAAGAGGTGACCTTGCCAGAAAATAGAAGCCCATATTTGGCCACGGACATATCGGGAGCTGGTCTCCCCCGCCAAACCAGTTGCCATCCAGTTGATTCTGACTCCTGGTGACCCCATGTGTTGCAGAGTAGAACTGTGCTCCATTGGGTTTTCAAGGCTGCGACTTTTAGAAATAGATCACCAGTCGTTTCTTCCAAGGCACCTCTGGGCAAACTTGAACTTCCAGCCTTTCTGTTAATAGGCCAGCGTTTTAACTGTTAGCGCCACCCAGGGACTCTACTTTCCTGCTAAACACCTGCAAATGAGCCCTCAAGGCCCATTTGTGAGAGAAAGTAGGTTATTAAGGTCCCATTTGAAATTAACTTAAACTCTGGAGATGCTTTGAAACACAGAGGATAGTTTTGGTTAAAAAAAAAAGTCCATACATCTAGTATTTTAACATTCTCATGAGGCTTTCTTGCTTATGAATCTTTCCCACAACTTTAAAATCTTTTCTTTCAAACCAAAATAAAAGACTCCAGGGCTGATTCTGCCCTGAGGCCATCTATATGCTGAGTCACCTCGGCTTGTATATACTGTGTTACAGAGGAGGTGTTTTGAGTTTGACAGTATTTTCTAGCCTCGTCGTTCAGTACAGAGGTATTTATATGTTTATATAGTGCAAATCCAAGAAAGAAGTTGCTTATCATCTTTCCAAAGTCAGTATAACTTTAAAAGTCCTATTGAAACAGGTATTTACTTATTCAAGAGTATTCAGAGCTGATGGATAGCACTGCCTGTAATCAGGTAAATCAATCCCCGCCAACCTTGCTGTCAGGTATCCCTTAACGAGAAAGGACATCGTTAGATCATAGCAGAGTTCTGCCTGAGTTGATGCCCTGGGGTTTGGAGAACTTCAGAGTAATGATAAAACTAAAACCAAACCCGTTGCCGTGGAGTCGATTCCAACTCATAGTGACCCTGTAAGGACAGAGAACTGCCCCCATAGGGTTTCCAAGGAGCGGCTGGTGGATTCAAACTGCCAACCGTTTAGTTAATAGCCAAGCTCTTAGCTAGAATGCCACCTGGACTCCCAGAGTAATAATAGTAATCCAAAATTTGCTTACACACTCTTCCTCTGGTAAGGTTGGAAAATCTGTGATGTGACCAGCACTGTGCTAGGAGTGGGTAGATGGGTGGAGGTGGGGGCCATAAAATTCTTGGTTTTTTTTTTTGTTTTTAAAGGAGTTTATGCTCTACATAGATAGAATAAAAGATACCCATGAACACCAATGTTCAGAGTCAGGGCAAATTCTTGAACAAATTCTTAACTCTAAGCCACAGTTTCAGGATAGTCAGATGTTAGAGAACAGATTTTTCTGTGGAGAAATTGTACCAAGGGAGTGAGAAGAAGGGTGGGATTTGTACTGGTGGTAAGTGGAGGGTGATATTGAAGGACAGTAGGGAGGATGCTGTTAAAGATGGCCTTTCAGGGGACCGTGTAGCTTATAGAACTGGAAGATGCCCCATCTCCTCAAGATAATACGCTCATTTTACAGATGAGGAAAACAGGGCCCAGAGCAGTGGAATGACTCACCCAAGGAAAACAATTTAGTAGCAAAGCTGAAACTGGAACCCAAATTCCCTGTCTCTCCGCTGAGTGCTTTTTTCCATTAATTCACTACCTCCCAGCCAGACTTTTGAAAATGTGTTATTTGCCCAAAGCATAAAGTCTTATATAATGCTGAATCTGGTTTCTTTGCTATTTTGAGAGTCCTACTCTGGTGACATCATTTATTTTTCAGATGTGATTAAAGAAGATGTCAGCTGGCATCAAAGTTGTTGTGAAATGGGGAAACGGTAGCATCATAAACATGGTCCTGATACTAAGCTTCCAGAACACCCAGCCCAGATTTTGGCCTCGTCCTCCAACAAGGGCTTTTAACTCTGGGTGTTCATGCGCAGTCAGGCGAGGGCCTATTCTGCTGCCAGCCTGTGATTGCCGTGAGGGGCCTCTTTGTGATCCCATCTCTAATTTCCATCCTGCTCCCTTGTGAGCTACGATATAATCTGCTTCCCTTGCTTCTTTCATCGTTTGCCCTATGTGCAGCCCCGAATCAGCCAGAAGGGAAATCTTTATTGCACGCTTGTTGAGTGTCAGGTGCTGTTCTAGTTCTGGTTACACAGTGCTAAACCAGACGAGTCTACTCCCTGCCTTCTTGGAGCCTACAGACTAGAAGGGAAAATAGACATTAGACGGATCACTGTTGTTACTATCGAGTTGGCTCCAACTCATGGCGAGCCCATGTATAACAGAATGAA